TTTAAAGCACTTCACCTTTCCCTCCCCGAGCGATGTGGGATTGCTCACCGTTCTTGTTTCCCCAAGACACGGGTCTTACAGTTGAGTCTAACCATTGTAGGGACCAAGTTCAGGCGAGCCCATGTGCACAGTAGATTAGGAAATCGGCAGTATAATTGTCGATCGGGTGATTTGGGCTTGGAGATCAATGGTGTGGACAAGATGACTAGCAAAAGAATATCTCATCATTTAATTTCTAATTTAGAAATCTTTATTTGGTCTAGGAAGAGATCCTAGACCATGGAAAGAGATACAGATAAAGATGATGATTGCTTGGCCATTGACTGATGTTTTGCGTCTCATTTCACCTCATGCCATCAAGTCCGTCAAAATATTTGTTAAAAACGATGATGTGGCACAAGTAGGGTACATTTTTTTTATTGAAATGGACATTAAAAATCTCACTAATCATATAGGGCCCCTACTGAGCATGTAATGCTCACCCCTTAATGAATTTATTACAGGTTTTGAATATGAAGTTTAGTTGTGACAAGGAAACAAGAAGAATGAGTTGCAGATAGTTTTGGATGTTTTGTTAAGAGTCTGTACTTTCCTGAAATTTTGCTTGTAAAATTACAATGTAAATTACTTTGGTTAAATTGGTTTAAATAGAAATTTTATGTTTAATTCTCATGTTTCTTGCTATTTAAATTTTTAAATTTTAGTTTTTCTTTTACCTCACACTTTCAATAATTAAGTAAATAAATTGGGGTGTGACAATTTTCAAATATGAAAGCAGAGTGTAAAGCATGTATAGATCTCGCAAATATATTTTCACATTTTGTTGCCTTTGCCAAAACTAGGGTATCAACTACAATAGACAACCATCTATGTCCCGTTAACTATCCATATTTGATGGAAAAGCTAGACAAACCCATGTACATATTGTCCAAATGATTAGAGCTCTTTATCTCGAGGTAAATGGCATTGCACCCCATGATGGCTCTACTATGTACTTCACCAATGAAGTGGCAGACAAGTCTTTTGACGTAGACATGGTCGTTGATGAAGATTCACCATTTATAGACACAAATACAATTACAAATTGGGACGTATATTGGAGTACTGTGGCATCAAGACGGAGGTTGAACTACTCGGTGTAGAGTTTATGAGAATTCCAAAATCTTCCACTAAGAGTTGGAAAACAAAGCCTATAGACACGGTTGTGTGGATATTGTTGGAGGAAGCTAGAGTCTAATTTAGTGAGAAGGGAGCTGGTTTAGATGTCATAGCTGATTATGTGTGTGTGTGTGCGCGCACACGCAAAAGCTTAAGCTCGTTACTTTATCCCATATCATCCTAGATATCTGGTGAATATAATGTGGGATTTGATCATGACCATTTTAGTAGTTATTCATGGTGTGTTTTATAACAATCTGGTCCAAAAGGGCGAAAACAATATAGAGACTCTACAACTGTCACATGTGGAACATTAGTTTAGACATGACTTGCACATTTGAGTTGAGAAAGTTGGCAGAACTAAACTTTGATGTTTGTTTCTAAATAGTGGTGTAAGTTGAACATAGATAAAACCAAATGTAAATCCTTGGTTTGCTTCTTGTTTTTGGCCCTCAAAAGTGTTTTTGAATATTCTACAATTTAGGATGGCAGTCTGGACTTGGTCAGAGCAAATTATCAATTGGCAAACTTTTTTGAATGAGTAAACTTTCATTTTCCTTTAAGAACAAAAGAAAAAAGAGAAGCTAGAAGCTATTAATCTAATTAGATCCAAATTCATATTTATATGTTCATACTCATGTACAAATGTTTTAATAATCTACAATTCATTTATGCGATGAACAATAAAATTGAGTATAGTGTTCAACTAAAAGTTAATATTAATTGTACAAAAATAATTTAATATTAATCAATATTAACATATTATTATAGTTAATTGTGTACAATCTAGTAATTTTTTAAAATTATATTAAAAACTTGATCAATAAATACAAAAACAAGAAATTTATGCAAATATATGAAAGATTATAAATTGAAAAGTAAAGGCAAGCATA